AAATCGTCCAGCACTGTTTCTCTTCAATTCTCCTGCTAAATGGAGGTTCTTGGCTAGGTTAAAGCCTTGAGTTGGCTGCATGTAGGGATTGGTGAAAGGCCTCTAGGGCTGTGCTATCTGTAACTTGAAATCTAACCCCCAATTTCTCCCCAGTGTTGGACAAATGTAAGTGAAAAAGTAGTTCAGTCATTGAAAGTTGTTGCGGACCTTATAAGAAAAAGGAAAAGGACTTTACACGTGGAATGGAAGAGTGGAAGTTATATGAATCTTGGGTAGATGGTCAATGGGAAGTTGGAAGTCATGTGGGAAAGACTAGAGCTAATGCTACTAGTGTTGTATATTTTTCTATCCGAATTTATATTGGGGCGCACTTGTTTAAGATCTTAATATCATACAACTATCTAGTAGATTGGAGGGTAATAGCATCACAATGTGCTGGTTAGGAAATTTTGCAAGCTGTTCATGTTCTTGAAAAACATTTGGTTGTTATGTAGTAACACTTGACTTTTCATCCCTCTGTTTTGAAGATATTCTCTGATTTTCTCTATCTAATCCTTGGTGGATAGAGTTACGGTGGGAGATAGCAGGTGCCCGGTGGATTAGTCAAGGTGCGCACAAGCTGGCTGAGACTCCGCAATTATAAAAGAAAAAGAATAGTCTACTGTCAAACCTTATCATGCTACTTTCTTCATACCTACATCCACACACTTCCCACACCCACCATGGATAGAAGACCCAAAGTACTGAATTTGGTGTGTGCACGATGTTTTTTAGATGTTGTCTTTAAGGTTGGACTATAGCTCATGTCCGAAATACAGCTGCTTCTTTTTTGGGGCTTTGAACAGATGCCTATCATTTAGTTGTATATAAGGGATATAAAAGGAAATGGAGATAGCACTACATAAACATGGTGAGAGCAAGTAATCCAAAAACTCTGCACAGTCTAATTACAAATGATAAACGGTTCTAGGTCTTGTAAACAAAACTTTTGCAGATAGAAAGAATTACAAAATGCAACTGCAGCTCGTAAACTAAGTCCCTAAATAGGGGATTATGGCAGAGGACTGGCTAATGTGTGCACATTGGTATAATTGCGATGAGTCAGAAGGAGCATGTGTAGAACCAGACAAATTGCTTAATGGGCTCAAATTATCGTTCCATGGAGCAGCAATGTTCATCTTTCATCTTCTATCACAAGAGAACTGCTGCGAAACATATTTTATATGATGCTCTATTCATCACAGGAGCGGGTCCCTTTGGCTTAACAAGCTAGAAACTTAATTGATCTGAATGTATACCTGGCACTTGATCATAATTTTGTACTCATATATACCTGAAACTGTGAAATGGATGTTAAAAGGTCTTTGGATGCAGGCAGTGCTTAATCGGGTTGGTTACACGCCAGAGATTAGTCATGGGGTATTGGTTGAGATGGCAGAGCATAAGAAGGACTTGGAGAAGAAGACAAAACCAATTCTTGATACTCTGAGAAGCTACCAAGACTTGCCTCCTGTAATTATTCTAAACATGACATGAATTCCATTATTCTTCTCAATTAGATTATGCTGTTGACTTTGAGACTTCCATCTGCAGGATAAAGCCTTGGCAGCGTTGGCAATCGAGGACAAGAAAAGGCAGTATGCTGCTGCTGAGAAGTATCTTGAAGATGTGTTGCAGTCAGCTCTTGCCTCCTCAGAGTGACGTAGAATTGCTTTTCTGCAAACATTTCATTTTTCCTTTACTGGGGCTTTTAGTGCCTTACCTATTAAACGTTTAGATAATTGAGATTATGATTGATTCTCTTTTGACGCTTGTGCTATGATATCCTTTCTGTATTTCCCCTGACAGTGTATTCTCAAGACTGAAAACTCTTAAAATTGACTCATAATGATTTGTGTAATTTGAATAGAAAAGAAGCTTGCAAAGCTCATCTCCTTCGCAGAGAGATACTGTTGTTCTTATTTCCCCCTCCATTTTCATTTATAGTTTTTTTTTGTATATCTCTCTCTTGTTTTATTTTATATCACAAACTTGCCTTAAAAGTGAATATCAGTTTCAAAAGAGTCGAAGTTGTATACTTACATAATTGGTTCTTATTAACTTATCAGAAAAAGAAGGTAATTGGTTCTTATTAACTTATCAGANTTCAAAAGAGTCGAAGTTGTATACTTACATAATTGGTTCTTATTAACTTATCAGAAAAAGAAGGTAATTGGTTCTTATTATAAAGACAGGAACAGTAAAGGGATACTGCATCTTGTTAGTCTACTGATTTCTCAGTTGATATGAATGAAAGGAATTGATATATCATTTTGTTTTAGTCCAAGAAAACAAAACGAAAGTGATACCTAATCAGAGAATTTCTGGTTAACATTTGTTATGTCGCGTATCCAGCGATGAAATGGTTAGGACGCAGCAAACAGAAATTATGTTAAATAAAGGCATTCCCCATTCATTTCTGGATTTAAAGTAAGAATAATAATGAGCAACATCAAGGTTTGACAACAATACTTTGAGATATGCTTTTTGCTTGAAAATCAAATCCCATTCTGGATTCTCAAGCTCTTGATTACGTTGAGGTACCATAGAAACAAAGCAGATGAATTGCTTAGCAATTTTTCAGCTTATGTTCTTTTTGGGGAATTCAAGTATTTTCGCGTCTAGGATTTGAACCCGAGACCTCTTGGTTCTCAACTCACTTCATTGACCACTAAGACACATCCGTAGGCACAAATGCATGGGTAGTTAATGGTACGTAATTCATTAAATTTGTGAAGATTATCAAAATTGTTCATTTTAAAATTAAAGTTAAATGTGTTTATCCGAATGTTACAAGAACCAAATTATAAAATTTGTCAATTTTTTAGAGACTAAAAATGCAGATTTCCCCTTTTTCATTAAAGACGCAAATTTTAAGTTATATGCACTGTTGGTTCTAAACAATTTTTACTCTCTGAGGCCACCTAATGGATATCTACAACAAAGCCTCCTTAAAAATGTGAGAATTGTAATCTTGAATATAAGACTACAACAGGTAAAAGTAAAGAAGCCTGATTATTTTCTTGATGCTTTACGGAGATTGCTTGTTCCTGATTGTAGTGAAGTTAATCAAACTTTACATGGCCAACCACATAATATTTACAACTCTCAGTGGCTTAGAAAAAGATGAAGAAGAAGAGTGTATAAACTAAAATTTAGTTTTTAGGGTCAAATCAGTAAAATAAATATTTCGGGTTACTAGCGACCGATTTACTACAATTTTCCAAATATAAATTGTATGAAATGGTAATAAATACGAAATAGAAGCAAATTACGAGAAAAAAGGAAATAGAAATGTTATTGATTATCATAGCCTTTCTTCCGTATGAACGAGATAATAATTTGCCAGAAATAGTAATCTCATTCATTCGTAACTGTTTGCCTTGTTCAGCTCCTGGGCCTTACTGTCATTTATTGCATTAATTGTGCATTACGTGACTGATTTGTAACGGTTGAAATAGTGATGACAAAGTATAATTAGGGATGAACTAATTCTTTCCATATTCGTAGCAATTAATGACCCTTATGTTTTATTCCGAAACTATTAGGCACGGTATGAACTTGTTTGACCCGAGGGTGTTTCACGTATCATCATTGCATGTCACTCTCTACTTTGCTGACACACGTCACCATCTAAATAAACACACGTGGCGAGTCTATTTTCCACTAGTACAAAGAGCCAGGGATGAAAAACTTTGGAAAAAATCTGTTCGTTCATTTGGATGAAAGCAAAACGGATTTGCTTTAGGGCAAGCTCTACTGATTCTCTGAAGGACATTATTGTCTAGAGGATAGACTGAAATACTGAATAATGAGATATTTCTACATATACCAGGATCGATGGTTAACAGGGATTAATATGGAAATTTTATGAAGAGAGTAAAATGCATCTATATTTTCAAAGTTTGGGACAGCAGTAGCTGTCCTTGCCTTAACATGTTGTGTGGTTTCCTTCACAGCCTCAAGTCTAGACTAGCTGAATCAGTTTAATGCTCAGGCGAGGTGAGGTGAGGTGAGGTGCCTTAACATGATCTCAGTCAGGATATGCAAAACAATGCAAACCTGTTGTAAAAAGAAATTTTGCATTAAAATTCTCGTCGAGTTCCTGGCACAGTCCCCCAAAATTCTCGTTGTCCTCTTGAGCAAGTGCTGGGTAGCATCGTTGATGTTCCCAGAAGTCCACCTGTTGCTGCTTTGCAACAATAATTATGGGGAATACATCAACTTAATTTTCATGACAGTTTGCACAACTGGAAAACAAGGTTGAAGATTGGAACTTTTCGTATTCAGTACCAGGATACAGATGATGATTGGATACTCATAGCTTGTAATGATGATTTAGAAAGTTGTCTAAGCGAATGTAAATTAATCAAAATGTTGGTACAAGCCATAAACTTGTAAAGTTTAACTGAGGTATGTATGTGAATTGTGTGTCCAAAATACAAGTCTTTTCCTTTTGGGGTAGTTGTAATAGCAATTCATGCTGTTCCCCTGCAGATAGAGAAGCCTCTAATATCTGAGATTACTCATACTGATATGGTAATTCAGTAATCTATTAAAAGCAATATTGACTTCGTTTGGGTCCTGCATCTCCTAATTAAGTTCATTTTTGCATTATTACAGTAATGGCTTGCTGATTATAATTTGCGATGACAACCACCTCAAAAGTTTATCTGGAAACCAACTGCATATATCCTTTCTAATAAGATGGTGAAGCAGTTGTTTTCTTCTTGGGAAATGGTGTAGAAACGGCTTTCATTGTTATACATCATATATGCTTGATGCAAGTTCCACACTTTATTTTAAAAATCAACTTATTATTGAATCTAACAAGCTTCAAGTTGTTATACATGAAAAATGAGAAAGAAAAATGTTGTTGCAGTGAGGATCCAAAAGAGGAATGTTTTCTTGATCAATTTTCTGAGGATTCTGATGTGTTCTTGATTTCGGATTGCTATTCATTTTCTTGATATATTTTAGTACTTTATTCTTCATTAAACAACTATGCTGCATCAATACAAAGTCTCAAATCCTAAGAACATATTTGGTTACATGATAAAATGTCACATACGAGTACATATATATTGCATCACTAGCTAGTTGAATAAACCAACACCAGTTGATTCCTTTATATTCCAAACATACGTTTAGTCAAAACAAGCTTCACATAGCCAGCAGCAGCATAGTGCAAAGAGGCTGCACAAAACAAAGGCAATATTAGTTAAGAATTCAGGATATTATAGAAGTTGTTAGAGAATTCTATAGACTTGATTTTGCTTGGCAGAGAACTATATCTCTGCCTGTTGAAACCTTATTTATAGCCTATTTGGCCAAACTTTTAAAATCTAGAAGTATTTTTTTCAAAAGAGCTTTAAAAAAAAATATTCTCGGTGAGAAGCAGTTTGGGTTTGGCTAATTAATTTGGAAAGCACTTTTGAGCAACAATTAGTGTTTGGCCAAACTTTTTAAAAGTGCTTGAAAGTGTATTTTTGTCAAAAGTGTTTTTCAAAAACGTGCTTACGGGGAGAATCTATTTTTTTCTGCTTCTCAAAAACTGTTTCTGCTTCTATTCAAAAACACTTTTTTTTTCCTTAGAAAAACTTGGCCAAACACCTTTAACTTCGAGAAAAAAACACTTTTGGCCAAGAAAAAAGCTTGGCCAAACAGGCTATTAATTTGCAAATATTTTGATGACTTAATAAATTTACCATCCTTCCAGAAACCCCCTTTCTCCTCTTGGCTTGCTTCTTGGCCGGCCCTTCATCTTGTTCTTGTTCTTATTTGGAGTAAATTCGGTGGGATAGCCTTTAATAAAAAAAACAAAAAAAAGAAGTGAGTCTAGCACGAGCATAGGCGAATTCAGAATCTAAAATCACTTCGAAATGAGTGTGATATTATTTTGTATATATATATTTTAAATGTTATTTTTACGTGTCTCATAGTTCGAATTGAAAGTAATGAATTTAATTGAACTCACAGTACCGTCTTAGATTTGCCTCTATATGGGGAGGGGTTGTGGGGGAAGAAATACATACCTGGAGGAGGTTGGTTTACTTGGTTTTCTTGCTTTTGCATCTTGAAAGATGAAAAACAAAGGCCAAGACAAGATAAAAATGTGGGACAAAAGTGTATATGTTTAAGTTACAACCAATTACTTGTTTCTATTTGCAAATGCCACCCTCTATTTATATACAATTTCAGCTGTATGTACAAGAAGCAAAAGAGAAGTTTTGTCTAGAAGTTCTGTTTTCTTGACAATCCATAGTGTAAATAGAATGTTAATTTACCCACATAAAAGTGTTTTTCAAGAATAGGCGAATCGAATATGTTGCTTAATCGTGTAGGAATGGTGTCATTTGTTTTTGGAGAATATTACGCATAAAGAAGCCCAAATGCCTAAAAGGGCAAAAAAAGGGAAAAATAATGAAAATAAAGTGAGTTTGAACTTTACTATGAAGTCGGTATTCTGTGCTGAAATATTGATTTATTGGAACTATTTTAACTACTTTTCTCGTAAGTAAACTAAGAAAGATTGTGAAGAATGAATATATTCGCTAACTTTATAGTATGCTTTTTGATTAGTGAAAGTTTGAAACGTCCAAAGTTTTCAAATCTATTGAGAAGAAAGACATCTGTAAGTTTTCTGTGCAAACTATAAAAGATATTTGTCACTAATAGTCTGTTTGGTTGTGCGTTTTTTTTTTTTTAAATTATTTTTTTTTGTCAAAAGTATTTTTTCTCTCCAAAATTAAGGTATTTGGCCAAACTTTTAGGAGAGAAAAAAAGTACTTTTGAGAAAAAGCAAAAACAATTGTTGAAAAGCACAAAAGTTTTTCCCAAAAATACTTTTAAAAAAAATACTTTTGGAAAAATATATACTTAGAAAAACTTTTTAAAAGTTTGAACAAATACTAATTGCTGTTCAAAAGTGATTCTTAAATTGATTAGCCAAAACAAACTGTTTCTCACCAAATATACTTATTAGAAAAAAATATTTTTTAAAATAAGCTGATTTTAAAAGCACAGCAAACAAGCTATAATTTTCCTTCTTGTCCCACCAATCTTTTCTTTTTCTTTAAAAATATTTATTTCTAATTAATTTAATATCTGGTTTTGATTTAAAACTTTGACTAAGATAAATCAAAGTAGTTTAAATATAGTGCTAAAAATTACCATTACAATGAAATAAGACTATTTAGTCATTATGGGTCAATAGGAAATAATCTCTCTACGTTACCCAAGGCCATAATAATAACTGTGTACATTTTCTCTCCCTAGACTAAGGCTGTCTAATGGTACGGTATTACCGGTATCGGACCGTATCGCTCTGGTGGTTGGGTAGGGGTGGGGAATTTGGGGTGGAGGGTAAAGGTAATGGTAGGGTATCCGATTTAGTACCCTTAGTACCGGTACCGGAAGTACCCTTAAGGTACCATACCGATATCGCCCCCACACCCTTATCGGTACCGAACCGGTACCCAACGATTTTTTTCATTTTAATTCTAGTCGTTTTTGTACCGTTAGCCAAGGGCTATTTTTTAATAGCCGTTGGTAACTGCTAAAAACGGCTATTGTTGCCTCCCTAGCCCTCCTCCCCAACATCCCTCACCCCCTAATTTATATTTTTAACCCTCAAGTTTGTTCAAATATACTTTAGCCCTATTTTAAAACTATAAATACCCCATTTCATTCTTTCAATTTTCATTCAAAAACTCTCATATCTCTCTAATTCTCTATCTATCTCTATCTCTAATTGCAATTAACGTCGGGTCGTCGGCGTTTGGTACATTCGTTCCAACTCATAATAATTTTTTTATTTATCTTTATTATACTTGTGTTGCTATTTATTGTAATTTTAATCATTTATCATTAAAAGTGTCTCATAAACTGGTAAAACAAGGTGGGTAATAGATCTACTAAGGATAATGCTTGGTGGTGGGGGTGATGGTGGTGGTGGTCAATTCCTAGAACAACTATTAGAAATAATGTTTGCAATAAAGACTTGCTGAAATATTTGAAGAGAAAAACTTTAGCCTTCCAGAAATAATTCAAGAAGACAACGATGCCTGTAGTGAAATACTATCTACCGGAGACAGGAGGGACGCAGAAGAACAAGTGCTATCAATTTCAAGCAAAGAACCAATAAAAATTATTGAAAATCTCCGTAAATTAAAAAAAATATGTAATTTTATTTTTATAAGTATTGAAATAAAAGTATTGAATTTTTTTCATCTATTAAAGCTTGTTTGTATTTAAATATAATTTTCTTTTTTAATTTTTAGTTTAAAATACCCCTAAGTACCCCTAAAGTATCGGTACCGCACCCTTAAGTACCGACACCCTTAGGACTGGTAGGGATACTGGTAGGGTACCCAAAAAATACCCTTAACCTTTACCCTTAAATACCTTTAGGAAAAGTACCCTTAAGGAACCCTTCCCTTACCCTTATCCTCCCCTTAACCCTTAACCCTTAATGTCCCCTTACCCTCCTCTTAGACAACCCTACCCTAGATCCACTTGTAAAATCATATTGGATATGTTATTGTTCTTCAAAATTGGAGGAACTTATATATCATAAAATCTAGGGCTACTTATCGGGCGGATTGTGCGGTTAATTACTCTTAACGGTTTGGCTTAACAGTTATCGGTTTTTAAATGTATTAATCCGCTAGCCACCTGATAAGATATCAGGCGGATTGGTATCGGTTTAGCTCTTATCGGGCGGTTATTGGGCGGTTTATCGGCCTAATTCAATATATATTGCGTGTATTAATTATTTTCTGACCGCCTAGCATACAAATTCAAAATAAAAAATTATACGTTGAGTCCAGACATACATGTCTGTTAACGCCTACATAAGAATAATGTAGTGTCATGTGTTGTAGAGTGAAAAAAGATGTGGCACAACACTGTTGTTCTTCTATTAAACATAGACAACATGCATTAGTTTTAAAAAATAAAAGCAGAGGTGAACCATAGACATCAATTTAAACAATCGTGTTGTAGGGTGTGAGAATAAGCTAAGCTAAGCCAAGCCTGGGATCTTCTGATGCATAATACGTAAGGGTTCTGATTATTTAGGAATTAGGCGTTAGAANCAATCCGTTCCCCGTCCGTTAAACCGTTAACCCGATACCAATAAGCCATTAAGTTTCGATTTCGATTCGGTTTTCGGTTTCGATTTGGTTTTGAACACCCCTAATAAAATCAACATATAAAATGGTAGACTGCATTTCACAGAATAAAAAAGAATTACTAAGAATTAAGGAAGACATTGTAAGAGTAGGATTTCTACACCTTACTGAGTGAGGCTATTGTACTATTGTGATCAGTGAAAATTTTGCATGGATCACCAAATAAGTAATGATGCCATATTTTAAGTGTAAAAATAACTATCGCAAGCTCCAAATCGTTGCGCTCCCCGTATTTGATTGCTTCACTTCCTTTCACCTAACATGCTAAGACTCATTTCTTCAAAGTAAATGACCAAAGAGTTTTTAGACCAGATTCTATTTGTTTAAAGTCATGCTTGTCGACCTATTTGTCGAAAAAATATTACACTGAAGGGTTTGGGGAGGGGAAGGACAAACGAGAAAGGAATAAAAAGAATTGAATTCACACTTATTGTACGGAAATTTTCACTAATATCACTAGTGTATAAGGTAAAATATATTCATATTTAATACTCACATAATAAAGCGACACGTGGAGCCGGAAGCAGATGGAAAGCTAAGCAAATGACAGTCAAGTCCGAGGGCAACAATCTCGTTTGTTCCCGAAGGGAGTATTGCTCATAAAGACAAAATAAATGGCTGCCACCTGATAACATTTAATGGAGAATAATGTATAGCATTAAGTACATAATACGTTATAGAGAATATGTCATTCATGGCCTGCCATTACACATTCTTCAATGACCTCCATAATTGTCATTTAAGAGGGGCTTGATCCTAGGACCTTGTTCCCTAGGAACAACTATAAATAGTGAGTTCAACAACCATTATAGAACACGAATTTTCTGACAATTATATGCTATATACTATTCAAAGCTCAATAATATTTTATCTTCTTGCTTATTAATATCGTTACTACTACCTCCAGAAGCTCTACTCCCAAAACCAGGATTTCTACTGTCTTATCTCGATTTCAATGCTAAGTCTTACATTCTTTCATAATTTATTTATCATTTTGGGATCAAATCGATTCACTTGTCTATAAACCACATATAAATTCAACTGTGCCATTTTACGGGTAAACGGTTTGGCGCCCACCGTGGGGGTTTAGACAGTTGTGTAATTGAGTTGATCCTTGCACCTGTTACTAACCTGTTTGATTCTTTGTTCTTAGCTAAAATCATAAAAAATGGTAGATAATGATGTCAACATCGCACACAATGTTGAGGTCCAAGGAAATCAACCTCAGCACGAAGACTCGATCAGTGATACCCGCAACGAGGGGGATGAGGCCACGCTGGTACATGGAGGGCAATATCCGCGACATGTTCGAGAGGCAACTCTTGATGATGCTGAGGACGAGCACGTCGGTGAAACAGTAAGGATCTTGAGGGAGCAACAAAAGGCTATTATGGGCCATCTCTCGTGACAGCATCATGTCATGACGGAGTTGAGGCAGGCGTTGTCGGGTGCTTCTACCAATGCGGATAGACGAGGTCCAGTTCCTCCTAGTGCTCCCGCAAACCAAACAATGCAGAGGTTCGACAATAACACCCCGATGGGCAAAGTCGACTTCGATAGGGATGGGAGGAATGATAATGGATCCGGTAACAACAATGAGAATGATCCCTTTAAAACCGATCTCATGATATTTATGAGGTAAATAAATGCCCGAATGGATCAAATTACGGGTGCGCCACTAGTATTAAAAGGATCAGACTCAAAGAAATACACCAGTTGTTGTTCAAACCAAGCGCGACCCCAGAATTGATCCTGAAGCGGTTCAAGATGCCAAATGTGCCAAAATATGATGGGATTTTGGATCCTCAGGAGCACATCACCACCTATACAATAGCGGTGGAAGGGAATGATTTAGCCCTGCACGAGATTGAGTTGGTCTTGCTGAAGAAATTTGGGGAAACCACGAAGGGGCCCCTGACATGGTATTCACTTTTACATGAGCACTCAATAGATTCTTTCGAGATGCTCACAGATTCTTTTATCAAGGCTCATGCTAGGTCCAGAAAGGTACATGCCCGAAAGGTCGACATATTCAGGATGCAC